ATTTTAGATTTTTTATATTTAAAATAAGATATTTATCATGTATTTGATTGTGTTTATCTGTAGTTAGTTACACGAATTCAGATATGGGATGAAATCGGATAATGATGAAATCGTTTAGAGATGAACGGATTTAAGAATTTTCAAGAGTTTTAGCCAAATGTTTTATAATATAGTATAGATATATAGATATATATATATATATATATAATTTATAAAAACTTGATTTTCTTGAATATTATTAAAAAATATAATAAGTCCCAGATAGTCGGTCTATAACCACTCCCTACTAATCCTGGTTCCAATCGTTCCAGGTCTCGTCCTAATCGGGTCTATTTTGACCATCTCTACTCAAATCCACTAATACAAGCCCATGCAAAGATGTGTTGGGCCAGTGGTAATAAATAGAAGCCCAATAAGGTGTTTCTAACGAGAGGCCTTACAATACAAAGTAGACATGGTCAAAAATTGGTCGTGGACCCGGCCGGGTCTAAATCAACCTGGGCCAAAATAGTAACAATACATCAGGACCCGTCGAAAATATTAAGGCCCGAGTAAGGGTACTTTTGACCGGTTAGGGTGACTGGTGGCCCCAAACCGGTCCTATATTAAAAAACATATTTTTACATACATTTTTTTTAAAAAAAATTTAACAAAACTTTAATGTTATTATAATACACGTTAAAATATGTAATTGGTTCAGTCAAATACACTTGAAAAATAGGTTTTATTGTCGTTCTATAATTGGTTTTCAATCAAATACACTTAAAAAATTCGTTTTATTGTAGTTTTATAATTGATCTTCAATCAAATATACACATAAAAATACGTTTTATTATAAATTTGTAATTAATTTTCGATTAAATACACATAGAAATTTATAAATATATTTAAAAATACATATAAAGTACGTTCTTTTTGAGAAAAAAATCAGATCGTGCCTTGTTTTTTGACGAATACCATAATGGTCCTTAACAGGCGGTCTCAAACCGGTCCCGAGCCAGACCGGTCCCAAGTCGGTCCGGGTCTCGGTCTTCCACCTCGGGCCAGACCCATTTGGCCATCTTTATGCGAAGTATGTTAATTGTTTTTTAAACGTAAAAATAATTAAAAATTAATAAAGGAGATATATTTTTAATACAACGAAGTTTTACCTTATAATAGAAGAAATAATTTCTTAATTAATAAATAAAAAAAAACTCATTGGGTCGTCGGATGCAACCATTATTTCTTCTTCTTTCTCGAGTACACCATTCCTCGGATCCCCTCCGGATCCGAAACAAACCCGAGAGGTCGATAGAATCCCAACACTCGGGGCTCCGAATACAAAGCTATATTCGTAATCCCCTTCTGCAAAAGCTCCTCCACCACTCTTTCGATCACCGCCTTCCCCAACCCAATCCCTTGGAACGTCGGATCCACCACCACATCCCATATGATGGCATTAAACACGCCATCGCCGGTCGCTCTGGCAAACGCCACCGGTCGCTTCGTCTTCTCGTACTCCACCCACAACAACGAGTCTGTGTGCTCCAATGCCACTTTAATCTTGTCGGTGTCCCGCTTCGGAAAACCCACCGCCACGAAGACGGAGTTCAGGTGGTCGAGGTTTAGGTCTTCGATTGTGCGACGGAGGGTGAACCCACGAGATTCTAGGTCTTCGTCGGAGATGGCGTACTGGTGTTGCGCCGCCGCGAAGGAGAATCGGCGAGGGTGGTGGTGGACGGTGGGAGATCGGAGGGAAAGGGGTGATCGGAAGGGAAGGGAGAAGTTTCCTTGAAGAAGCATGTTGGAGATATGGGGATGAGGGATGGATGGAAGGAGGGGAGATTTGTTGTGGTTGTTATGTGAAATTGGAAAGTTTTGTGGTCCTGCTGATTAACAAAAAACAAAGCTAAAAATTTGCACAAATTGACACTTAACTTTTTTAATTTGCATTTTACAGTAAATTATGGATTTGTTTCCCTTTTATTTTGTTTCAAAATAGCCCCTAGAATTTACATATGTGTACTACATTGGTCCCTACCAGTAATATTAGTTAACTCTCTTCCGTTGTTAGTCATTTTTCTAATCTACACCATTACACACAAACATTGTAAACACAACATCAATAACAACAACGATTCAAAATCACACCCAAATACATATCTAAACCGCAAACCAATCAAATCCATGTAAATGTCCATACCATAAAATTAAGGGGTGTTTGGGATTGCTTATTTGAAACAACTTATGTTTTTATACAAAAGTTATTATAGATTAAAATGGTTTAACTTCTTTAAAAACTTTTTATTACCGGTTTGGCACCGGTATAAGTTGTTTATCCAAACACTCGAAAGTGCTTATTACCGGTGTCGCAGAAAAATAAGTAAATAAGTTGTTTTTATAAGCAATCTCAAGCACCCTCTAAAAGCAAACCTAAAACTATACCTCAAAACCAAATTTAAATCAAAATCAAACCTAAATCTACACTTCAAAACCATATTTAGGTCAAAATCAAACCCAAATGCAAACCTTAATCACCAAAACTCACACGTAAAACCCAAATGCGTCAAAATAGGGTTCTTCCACATGGGGTGCACAGTGGTGATTAGGGGTGCTCAAAAACCCGATGAACCCGACCAACCCAACCCGAAGTTTTTAAAAAAAACCAACCCGAGGTAACCCGGTGCATGATCGATAAAAAAAATTAGCCAACCCGACCTTATTGGGTTGGAATCGGGTCAGGCCCAAAAAAACCCGATCAACCCGACAACCCGATCAACCCGACCTTAATTTTAGCTTTGGATTGTAGATGACAATCATGACATGACCAATCTCAACGTCAAGAAAGTGAAAGCATCGGGGTTGGAAACGTCTAAAACTATTGTTGTTGGTTGATGTATTATCATTTGGTTTAAACATTTTTATTGTAATATCTAAATATTTGATGAACTTGCATATTATTTTGAATGATCGGTCGTATTTCAAAGGAAAGTTTCCTTTATTTTTATGTGATTTTACATTGTTTAAACACAACCCGATCAACCCGAACGGGTCGGGTTGGGTTGGGTTGGGTTGAAAAATTTCAAACCGCCAACATTTGGTTGGGTTGTTAAAACGGCTCCAAACCGATCAACCCGGGCCGTGAGCACCCCTAGTGGTGATTATGGTGGTGTCAAGAGGGATAAGAAGAAAGAAGAAAATGTGCATTATGGAGATGGTGATGGTGTTGAGCTCTATTTCGTTCCCACCGCCGCCGACTTTTTGAACCAACCCGTTTCATCCCCTGTTCTTGTCCCCCCCTCATCTTGACTACTGATATCTTCCTTGTTGCATCTCTTTTTCGACCCCATCATGCAACATGGATGAGTCGATTTGATACTGAGATTTGGATTTAGGTTTAATTTTGATATCGTGGTATGGATTTGTGTTTGATTTTGAGTCTTGGATTTGGGTTTGATCTTGAGGCTTGGTATGTTTATTATGGTGTGCGGTGACTAAAGTAGATGATGGGGAAAAAAATTGGTCGGAGCAGATGAAGATGGCCAATGCTGGTTCCGGTTTTAGATTGCAATAGAGAAGTGTGCCAGTTAGGGAGGGCGAGGCTAATATATGTTTTATTATTTTCTAAATGAAAAATAAGCAAATTCAGTAAAGAACCAAAATGTCCCTTATTTAACGAATATCAGTTAAAGCCGTTAATAAGAGGGACCAATAAGTTACGAAAATATAATTTCTTGAAGATATCTTAAAATAAACAAACTCCGGAGATCAAATCCAAATCGAATTTAAAACCGTGGGGACCAAATCCGTACGCAATGTTTTATTATTCATTAATTATTATTGAAAAAAAGGAACCATGGCTTTGTTTTGAAGGATTTTATTTTGTAATAGTATTTAATGATATAATTTCAAACATTTAATTACTTGTAAATGTTTATAAGAATTCATTTTTTATTAACCTGGATATCAAATCCGCTATGCGAGCCGACTAATCTCAGGATGACCATCTGCTTTGCAGGTAGCCCGGAGTCATCGCATTTGAACCTACGTAGCCAAAAAGGGATTTGTATTCCTCGTTGGATCTAAACCTGGAACCTTCTGCTACTTTTCGTTTTTATGTTTTTAAATGTCAATTGGGTTTCTATTCTCTTTGTAGATTTTTTATTTCTTAAACCAATTCGATCCAATGGATGAAATCGATCTGATCCAATCATCTACTAGATTGAAATGAATCATATGTCCAATGTTAATTGGACTAGACGACAACATCTAACATCTAACATCTAACATCCATTTATGATTGGATTGGATCAGATCAAAAACCCCCTTAGATTTCAACAAATAAACATCCCTTCTCACTTCATCGGGCTTTTTGCACTTGATTTAACCCGAGCTCGTACTTGGCGTGACGATGACTTTTCGGGCCAAGCCGAAGTTTAGATCTTGAATTTTTTTTGATGTAGAATTAAAGAATAGAATATAAAATGAAAGTGATTGAAATAAAAATGTAGTGAACTCATTTATATAATAAAGTACAAGAATATAAAAATACAAATGATATAAAAAATTAAATCAAATAAATTTAAAATGTAAAATAAAATAAAATCTAGAACCAGCTGCAAGCAACCAATCCCAATACCAAGCTTCCCACCACCATCTTTAACCTGTCTGCTCCACTCTGTAAATGTACAACAATCAAAGCATAAACGTACAAGTCAGTAATGCATTCATCGTATCATTAACTTCAATCAACACGAAAAAGAGATCGGAATTACCTCATCGGCGACATCGGCCGACGGACTCGAGGACGGAGAATCGGTACTCGGTCCAGGAGCGTCACTCGGAGCAAGTGAATCGGAGGAAGGTGCCGGCGATGGTGCATTGTGCTTCTTTGTCTTCTTCTTGCTTGGAGCCGGAGCCGGAGATGAAGCTTCTGGAGTTGGAGCAGTCACTGGTGTTGGAGAACTGACTGGTACAGGAGCCGGTGGAGATTCAATCACTGGAGGAGGAGAACTCACCGGTACCGCAGCAGGAGGTGAACTCACAGGTGTAACCGCCGGAGGAGTAGACACTTCAGGAGCAGGAACGGCAACCGTTGGCGGAGCTGCCACAGGAGCCTTCGCCGGAGGAGGTGAACTCACTGGTGTAGCAGCAGGTGTTTGAACAGTCGATGGCGGTGCATTTGTAGGTGCTGCAGCCGGAGATTGAGCTCCGACGGCGGCGACAATGGCGCAGATGAATGCAAAAGCAACGGCGGTTCTCAGATCCATTTTTTTGGTTTCTAGAGAGAGAAAGAAGAAGTGTGTTTTAGAGAGAGAGTGAGAGAGTGAGAAGAAGGGATGGAGAGTTGAAGGTGGAGACGCGAGTATAAGTAGCCGTTAAGGTAAATAAGGTTGGATTTGTTTTGATACGTGTGGACCCCACAACGGCAATTATTAAACGTCATACGTGTTTCCTTGTGTGGGCCCATGTAACGGCTTTATACAGCTGGAATAATTTCACGTGGCCCACCGAAAGTTTTGCTGTCACTGTGGAATAAGTACAAGGGGGTAAAATGAAACTTTCGCCATTATGACAAATATTTTGTTTTTGGGTCCAAAATCTTGTAAAACTTTCAAATATGTAATCAAACTTTTTAAGCCCGTTTGGTTTGTAAAAAACGTGGAGACAATTAGGAGTGCTCATGGGTTGGGTAGATCGGATTGAAGACATTTAAACAACTCAATCTAATGTTTGCGGTTTGAAAAAATCTTAACTCAACCCAAACCAAACCAAAGTGCAACCCAACCCAACCCGTACGGGTTGGTCGGGTTGATACTTTGGTATATTAAAATATTCTTATAACATTGAATATGTTATTTTTCTATTCATAATTTCTTTTTCATCATCAATCATTTGATACAACTTATTCATATTTTTTTACGTATATCACATTCAGTTAATTTTCTCAATTTACATATATATGTTCATAGTTACTGAACATATATATGAATGAGTTATATAGAAATATGAATAAATTAAAAATATGTGTATATGAAAATCATACAAGATAGTGTAATTGTCTTATATATATATATATATAGGGTTTATCGGGTTGAGTTGGGTTCAAATAATAGTAACTCAATATCAACCCAATACTTACAATTTGACAATTTTACAACTCGATTACACATCGGATTGCTTCGGGTTAGGTTATTTCGGGTTGGGTTGATCGGATTGGTCGGGTTTTTTAGTACCCCTAGAGACAATGGGGTGAAGTGAAGTGAAGTTAGGGGCAATTTTAGCAATTCATCAAAAGTGTAAGGGGAAATTAGGAAGAAATGGTAACAATGGGGGTGGTTTTGGTTGTCTTTTAATAACAGATAATTTCCAGCGTAAGCATCGCATAACGTTAAAGCATTTCTATATAATAAACAGCAAATCAAGCATTTCATATATAACTTTTAAAAAAAATAAAGAGAATTTTTATAATTAAATATTTGAGATATTTATTTCATCAATATCGAATTTTCGAATAATTATTATATAAAAGATTTATTTTTTGTTCGTTTTAATTATTGCAAATTTTAATAATGGAGGTGTTTTTATTATATAAAGAAATAATATCCGACCGTTACAATAAATTATTTTTAATACAAATTATGGCGATATATAGAGGTGAAAAAAAAACGATTAAACCATCAATCTGTCTCATTAATTATAGAAGTTCACCGACTAAGCCAACCTAGCTTAATCCAAGATCGAACTGGTTTATAAGATATACAAACTGATGAGAGTACGGTCAGTTATGGATTAGAATCATGTGAAATCGAATTAACCCATCAAACCAGATAAAATTTTAATAATGTTTACTGATAACAACAATTTAAAAAGGAATTGTTATTTGCGGTCTCCACCTATAAGAGGTGTAATTAAAAAGTCAAAAAAAAATGTCATGAATTAACCATAGGGGTGGTGTCTGATTGGTTTGAATTGGCTCTAAAGGTTAAAAGTATTATAAGGTCTCAGGTTCAAATCCAAGGAGGAATAAAAATTCTGTTGTGGCCATGGATGTTTAAATGCAGTGACTTCGGACTATCTGCAAAGCAGGTAGTCGCCCTGGGATTAGTCGGCTCGTATAGCGAGTTGGATATCCAGGTTAATAAAAAAAAAAGTCGTGAATTAATCAATTATATTTCATATTAAAATTAAGAAACAATTTCATACATGCGACTTTCAATTGAGAATTCTAAGTGAGAAATTAATGAATTTCATTAAACTATAAACTAATCTTCCACTTCCAGTTTGAAGAAATAATCACAATCGAAAAAGACCCGACGATTGTTTAGACGCATATTTGAAAAACAACGAAGGATTGAGATTTAAGAGTTTCCTTTGCCTAAATCGCTCGCAAAATCGATGAATTGTATATCCAGGTATGTATAGTCGGCAATGCATCGAGCCATCATCCCATCGACGGTCATGGGGCCAGGCAAAGCTTCTTCAATCTCGCTTCTTCACTGTTAATCGGTTGCCTCTAGAATTGGAATGCCATTTTTGAAAAATGGAACAGTCGAACACTCGAAGTCTTGAAAATAATACAAATCGCCAATCGTCTTGATGCGTTTTTTTTTTCATCGATTCAAGTCTGATGCGCTATATATATATATATATATATATATATATATATATATATATAGGGTTGGATTCACGTGAAACCAACCTATTTTCTTGAGACTTGTGAGAGTACAAAATAACATTGAACTTTCAGAGTAGAACATTATGAAGGTACCCGGTTAACAAAGTTTGTACTAATTAAACAATTAACAAAACTCAAAAGGTACCTACATATATAGACGAAAAATCACGTGAGAATAGAAGTTAAGGGGAGAAGCGTAAGGGGGGATTAGGATCCTTGATCACTTTTAATCTCACCCCATGAATTGTGTTTTTCATGAGAGTTAATCCGGTGTATCTCATTAGTATTAAAATATTTGATAAAAACAAAATGAATATTCATTAATCAAACAAATCACTCCATGATCTCCATGGGGCAAGCACCTGTTACTTCTTAGGTTGCAAGCAAGCTGGTCGCCCAACATCCTCAAATCTAAATAGAATAGATTCAAAAAAAAAAAAAAACATTTTTTATATTTTCTCCCGAAGTTACGGGGCTATTTTGTCGAGTTCTTTAGAAAGAATTGTCACTTTTTTTTTCTTGAGAAATGGTCAGAACTTCATATGGGTTCGAATTCTATTACTCAAAGTCCCGATAAAAACTATGGTAGTAAATTGATCCAACGGTGGATATCCCTTCTTACCCTTCTCATCGGAACATCCATTCTCACCCTATAATTCTATAAACCCACCCATTAATCGTGCTTGATAAATGGATTGATCTGGTGCATCTCATCCTAATATATATATATATATATATATATATATATGGGGTTCATTCAAGGGAGAACTGACTAGTTTGTGGTAACCGTGAGATCCAATCTCAATCACATATATATATATATAT